GTGGTGACGTCACTTTTCTGACCAATTTTTGACTGTTTGATTGTCGCTGTATATATAATATCAGCATTGTTCGTCGAAGGAGATAAATGAAAATGCAATATGTATAATTGTAGTGTTTTTCGTTTGCAGGATCGTAAAAACGAGTGATCGAGTGACTGCTGAATTAATTGCGTTGCAATATCATGTCAATACAGTACATCAAGAACATACTATATACCCAACGTTGGTGCTACGTTTTTAGGAGTTCACAAAAAAACGTTACCACAACCAAAAATTATAACGTAGTCCGTAAAATTGTTTGGTATCAGAGAGTCCTCTTCACAAGTAGATATCTTGCTTTACTATATCTGAATATCTGATATCACCGAAATAACTAACATTTATGGAGTACAAAGTAATGTAATCGCAAAAAAATCATACCAGGTAACAGGGCTGAGTTCAACCCCGGGGTTGAAAGTTCTCCATGTAATCATCCCCTAATATTTTCTCTTTCTAATCCCAGACAATTTACTTGTCAATGAAAGAATCTTTGATCTTAATGTTTAATTATTTACACAAGTGCGTTGGCAACTAAAAATGGGACCTTGTATTGCTTCCACTGACTGTGTCAGTGAAAATAATCCTATGTTTAGCAAGTACATTGTGTTCCACACTTTAAGTTTATGTTTTCATTGTCTGATAATTTTTTTATAGTGCATGCATGTACTTGATTCAAATTTTATTTTTTATGAGCCAAGCTAGATCTGAGGCAGTATAACATAGCCATATAGAGCAGTGAGAGAACGGACAGACATGTTGTTCCCTTAATTTATACCCCCTACTTGGGTAACCCAGTGCATGGCCATTGTCTGATGGCAAGTGAAGTTTACTCAGTTTGCAAGACTCTCTCTGTAAAATTGTCTGGTATCAGACAAAGTAAATGGGCTTTTTACACGAGCCCAGCTAGCCAGAATGAGATGTATGCAAGCCAAAAATGTCAGCAAGAAATATTACATTGGTGGGAAAACTTTACTTGTTTACAAGCTAAGAGGTGAAGGTTTTCACTGTTCAGTCAAATCCATGCTTTATTTGACAAATTTTCAATTTAAAATTATTGCATCAGCAAGATTAACTTAGAAATTGTAAAAGTTAAATCAAGAAAAATATTCCTTTTTTACGAGACTGAGTTTTACCTTTTAGTTCAAGATTTACGATTGTACAATGAAGAATACTTCTTTAGATACTTTCGTATGAGTGTGGTCCAGTATGAAGAACTTCTGTCTACGGTAGCTCCGATAATACAAAAATCGTCACAAAAACGGGAATGCATTGGACCAAACGAGCGCCTCTGTGTTACCATGCGATATCTAACAACTGGAGATGCTCAAACAACAATTGCGATGAATTATCGAATAAACCCTTCCTCTACTGGAAGAATTATTTACGAAACATACAGAGCATTATGTGGCAAGTCCTATCACCCAAGTTTCTGCAGTGTCCAAAAAATGAAACTGGCTGGAAATCCGGTCGCAATAGTGATGGATTTGCCCAGGTGGCACACAGTTGGAGGGGAATGGCGGAGTGTTGTTCAAAGAGATCAAGGACTGAGACACCTAACAAGAGCTGGCTCAAACAACTATTCACAAAGTGTCAAGCTTGTTCGTGAAGATTTCAGCAATTACTTCTTATCATGGCAGTGGGTTGCCACACATTCTGCTGAGGATGCTTGCGATATTAATAAGCAGAATTGACAGATAAAGTTCAAAGTACCACACTTACAATTATTTGTCAATGTTAAATTTTCAAATTGTAAATTGAAAATTGTAAAATTTTGTAAAAACAATTTTCATATATAATATGAACCATAGTTAAAATTGAACCTTATTATTTACAAAGTTTCAAAAACTTTAAATAAAATATGTAAATAAGTTAACTTAAATAAATTTGTTTGAAATGTCTTCTTTAACACTAACCTTTTAAAAAAATTGACAACTAGTTTACAGCAGTCCTTAACAAAACTACAAACATTTGACTCATGCATCATCTTCAAATTCAAGTAAAACCTGCATCACCATCATTTTTGCTTTCTTGTTGATTTTTCCTTTCAATTTTTGAAATGTTTTAACTAAACTAGAGCAAAAAAGAACATAACATCCTCATCCTGACTTTGTTCTGTGTTGTTAGTTTCTTCTTTCTTATCATTCCTCAAGTCATTTGAGAGGCTTATTGCAAGTAGTTCATCAAGTTGATCAGACCTGCGTTTTTGGGCATTCCGAATGGATTTTGCGTCACAACTTGAGGAATTGGATTGTGCACTATTGGTGTCAGTCGCAGTGTGAGTTGGAGGTGTAATTATCTTTTAATCGGTCAAATTCTTTTGTAAGCACAGTCTCTAGAGTAGAGGAAATAATCATCTGACAATAGCATGCTAGTAAGATTAATTACCGAAAATCCAGCTTTTGGTGGCAAGGCAACTTGCCCAAACGGGCAAGACAAAATGTTTACTTGCCCATCATAATATTATTAACTTGCCCCGGGCAAGTGTTAAGTTACACCTCGGATTTCATGGCTATATATGACCAATATTTTTAACTTGCCTTGTGCCCAGGGGTCTGCCTACTAGCCCCACTAGTGACATTTTTTTTAAATCACACCTCTTTTAATTCTAATACTCATCAGATAATTCATCAGACTTTAATCCTGAACTGTCTGTGCCAGTGTGGGTAGTGTCAATATAAACAAAGTTTTCGTTGGCAGGAATGCAACTACCTGAAAACGTTTCGAGCGAAGGGCCTTTGTTGGGAGTTAGTCGAAGGCGAATTTCTCTTTACATTTGTAACGGATATCTGATAATGGATATAATAATGTGTAAATATGTAAATAAGATTAGTAAATCATAATTAGCTGCGGATGCTCTACTAGCAAGCTGCTCTCTAAATAATTAAAGGAAAGATAGAAACACATCGCGCGAGAGTGTAGATCACCACGTCATTTAAACTTCTAAAGGATGGACGGAAAGTTGCTGGAAATTGCGTCCATCCTATCATAAGTACAAATACCATTAATAATTGTACAATTATCCACCCGTTTGTTGATTGTTTTGTGGACCAAGTCGGTGTTCGTGCGCTCATTGATATGGGCTCAATGAAGTCTTTTGTAAATCAAAGTGTACAAAGAACAATTGATTTTGACAATCATGCAATAGATAAAACTATAAAACAGAAATGTGTCTCAATTACGGTACTCAATGTTGAGCTTGTATCATGGTATATTACCAAAAGTTGTTTCGCCGTTGTTCACAACATTGAACTTGGGGGAGGGGGGGACAAAGTTTGTTTTGTCAATGTTCAATAACTTTGTAGTATTAGCTGGGATGGTCTCAAGGGTTTTGTCCAAGATTGTCTGAAAGGCCATTAGAATGGTAAACGGCGACTCCAATTTAAAACAATGATTAGACCTATCATTTACTATAAAATCTTGCTGCTATCCCCGTTTGCCGTTGATATCACATCAAATCTTTTTGTTAATCGTTTGAAATGTTCTTATATATTATTATAAAACGTTTATGCTCCAAAAGTCATGGCGATATACTCGCATTTCTTTACTATGGCCAATTTGAACATTGAACAGGAACCATTTGTTCCTCGTGGGGGGTCGCCATACTATAATAACCTGTGAAAACCGATTGCCTATATGAAAGTAGCTCTGTAGACAACATTTCGCATGTCCATGATCCCATTTCTTTTTAAACTTTGTAGCTATGTTCTACAACAGTAGCTAGTTTACCAAAAGCCAATAAATAGTTTACTTTCATCCAGACGTGTATATATGTCTTCCTTAATTCATTTTCCTTTACTTACAGTATAAATATAAATTTTGCATCGCCTGGAATGATTGGTAATATGGTTAAAATTTCGGTTACCTACAGTACCATAACTCCCAAACAATTGGATGCATGTAAAATTCCCACATTCAGACAATCTTGGACATAACTGGTTAAGACTATTTTCCCCCTATAGAAAATTCACGTATTTTTTGTGATAAACTCCATGTTGAATCATGTTGCCCTTCTTAAGCCCCCGCTCCCCCTACTCAATGTTGAGCATTTCAGATAAAATAGAGTCTATTATTGACCCATCATTACAGCAACATCCTCGCTGCATTCCTTTTGTTAGAGAACGGCATAATTCGTGAGTCAACAAGCCCTTGGTCTAGTCCCATCATTGTAGTTAAGAAAGATGGCTATGCTTTAAAAATAAATGTTTTCAGTATTGTTCTGGAGGTTAGCACTTGGGGGCTGTGATTGTAAAAGTGATTGCACACTCATAGTTGCATTTTTTGCAATGATTTTCAGAATTTTTTCCTCTCCCAAAAATCTGTCCAGGAAACCTATAGTTTTGTTGCTATTTTTGTTTTTAGGTGTTAGCTGAACTTCAGATAATTCTAATCAAGTAAAATCTGTAAGTAATATTATATGTTGTATCACTTCTCTGTAGTTAAATGTGTATTGTCTTGTGTCAGGTCAGATGTGGCTGAACTGGGTTTGAAAAATAACTGAAACCAATACACTGATTAATTATCAAACTGAAATTTTAGATATCTTTGAAATTAAAAAAATAGTTAAACAAATTATTATGGCATAATTCCAGGTCCAGTATTGACATGTGTTAGCTGCCATTGTAACTCATGATTAATTAAATTAATGATATTATTCCTTGTTCTACCTCAGGAATGAGGGTCCTCTGCATGCTCTGCGGTGAAAGCAATGCAACAAGCACTCTGCCCACCTGATGAAGATCCATCGGTCTATAAATGGGAGTTGGAGAATATCCTCTCAAAAGCCGACCCGACTCTTTCGAACGATGCTAAAACTGCGTTGTTGACGAGGCAATTCTTGAGAGGTTTACCGCCGACGCTGCAGATGCTGGAGCATAACCCCCCTACACCGAATGAAATGGTCGAGTTCACTCAACGATTTTGTGCTCTTGGTCAACCAGTAGTGGACGATATACCTCCCATGCAAGTTGATGCTGTTGCTCACTCGTCTTCTCCAGCAGACCCAAAATTACAGCAGCTTATTTACCATGGTTGCTGGCATCTCGGAGAAACAACAAGCACTAGAGAACCGCCTGAAACGTACGGTAAACGCTATACGTGTGGTTTATCAGGTCATCTTGCTCAAGATTGTATGCGACAGCAAGGCTTTAGTCCAAGGCGGATGATCACCTGTTATAATTGTTGAAAACAGGGACACATCGCACGAGAGTGTAGATCACCACGTCATTTAAACTTCTAAAGGATGGACGGAAAGTTGGTGGAAATTGCGTCCATCCTATCGTAAGTACAAATACCATTAATAATGCCACGTTCTAGCAGCAGTAATGCTGTTAGACAGGGGTTTAGTATAGCACGTGTTGTTGTAAAACCTGACAACAGAATTGTGCCTTTGCGTGTTATTAATTAATAATTACCAATATTAACTATCAGATACTCAGCGTATGTTATCGCATGCCATTATGTTTTCGAGTCTTCTATCCACTCTTTGTGATGGAATTTTTAGTTATGACTAATGTGGACCATGTCATTGTTGTTTTGTTGGCAGAGGTTAAAAATTGTTATCTTAATTTGTATAGATGTTTGCATGATTGTAGTCCTAGCTTATATATTGTAAATATTTAATAATTTTAGCTATTATTAAATTTGTGAATTGTACACTCAGATATGTTGGTTCTTTTATTTATTTTTTATTCAATTAGATATGTGATCTGAGACCAAGCTGAACAAAGGTGTGTAATTTTGCACGGCTTAAGGTGTGTAATTTTGCACGGCTTAAGGTGTGTAATTTGTTCGCCAGAGATTCAGGGCAAAATACACACCATATGGTGTGTAAAAATACACACCTTTTTGAAAAACACGCCTTAAGGTGTGTGAATTTGGCGACAAGAAAAAAATGCAAAAAACACACCTTAAGGCGTGTTTTTTTACACATTTTTAAATCAAATCTTTTACAAGCAAAATTTTGAATTTTTCTCCTCAACAAAATTAAAACCGAACAATCATTTATTATTGATCTGAATATATATATATATATATATATTATATTATATTATACAAAGTCACAATATTTGGCATTATGACATTAATTACCACAAACAGCGTTTGAATCTCCTCGTTTTTTACTTTAAAATTGAAGAAATATATTTTGAGATAACAAAAATGACCAGTTTAGATTAATTGTACTGTGTATTATTTGATAAAAACAGTAATGTCGTTTTAAACCTTACCTTAAATGTACAGTATGTTATCCTGAGTTTGTATTAACATAATAGAAAGCACAGTTATTGGGATTTTTTCTTCTCTGTTTGTTCAATTAAATGCCATTAATCGATAAAGTCAAAGGAGGCTATAGGTAAGGTAACGCAAAGTAATGGATAAAAACACAACAAGACACTTGATAACCATTCAAACACAAAATGCAATTTCAAACAACAACATTTACATGTTTTATGATATCGAATGCCAGATTCATTGACATTGTTCAAAAATAGAATTCAAATAGCTGCCAGAGATTACACTTAAAGGAAAGTGTAAATTGTGTAGAAGAAAAGTACTGAATTTAATTTTTGGGCGGTACGTACTGTAAAAGTCGCGTACACGATTGTAATATCCCTACTTAGCACCTTAATTCTTAACTACTTAAGGATATATTTACGTTTTTCTTCTTTGATTGCAAAACCTTTCATTTGGCAGCTACAGAGAGTTTCGGCAATCTGGCACACGAATATATATATAGAGCTAACTTTTTTAATGCATGCATGTGCATTTTCAAAATAACGCAACAATCGTACGTTGAACGTCTCAGTGTATGTTCCCCTTAACCCTAACTTTAATACCTTTTATTTGAACTTGTATTTAAAAATTAGTCGCCGAAGATGAGGTGATTACAAAACAATATTCATTGAGCCAAGGCAAAGAGAATATAGGCTTGTTTGTAATCACCGAGCCTGAGGTGACCAATTGTTTTAGTATAATTTCAGTATTGAAGAAGTTTTATTTATAAATACAACTATAACTAAAGTTATACCAAATGGTTTTCCGTGCAGGATTGCGTTATCCATGCACGAGGGATGTTGCAAGACTTTTGGAAACCGTAAAAATACTCGAGCAAGTGTATCTTTACGCTTTCCGAAAGTCGAGCAATATCCCATGGATCACGCTATCCTGCTTGGTAATTGTTTTATAAAATAACTACAGTGTAATTGGAAAGCTGGACTGTTCTGGAGAAAACCTGAACAACGTACCATACAGCAAAGCAATGCGATGGGTGAGGGACGCCGATTTTAGCCATAATAACTTCACAGTGGTGAACACGACGAAGCTCCTGATGTTGTTCCAAATACTGCCCGCATAGACCTGAGGACAATCCTTTAAAATGCCCTTCTACGATCATGGTAAAAATACTTAGCGACTGTCCACCCACAATGACCACAATCTCTCCAGCCACAATCTCTTCACCTACAACACAGTTAAATGTTTCTACAGAGTATCCCCGCATCACCGTTACAACTCTCCCTGCAGTCAACATATCCACAGCAATTACTTCCGGCAACAGGAAGTTGAATCTGTATTTATTTATAGTCATTCCTTTGTACACCATTGTCTGTATTGTCTTCGCCTGTCTCCTGCCTGTTTGTCTAATGAAGCGCCGCCGTCGCCCTTCCAGCATCATTGCATGGAAAATTTATTTTCAGTCTGTCTAATGAAGCGCCGCCGTCGCCCTTCCAACAACATCCGTATGGAAAATCTATTTTCAATTGCCTCTTCTGACAGTGACAGCGAAAGCAATTTATAACTTCCTGCCTGTGCGCTTGATATTAATATTTTGTTAGTAATAAAATCCTAAAGTGGAAGTTAAGTCCGCCCCCATCATAACAATGTGAGGACTCTGGATGTAAACATTGCCCAAATTTTGAATTCTTTCTAGACATATTTCATATTCACTTAGAAGCACAGCGAACCAAAATAGGTTAGATACTCAGAACCGTGTCTTCATATCATTCTATTCTATGAACGGTTGCTAACAATTTAAAACGAACTACAACTACTTCGCTACTACCCACCCTTGTTGTCTATATAACTTTCTTAAAAGTAAATTGTCCCATAGTATAATGGCAAAGATTGTAGCCATATCTTTCGCCGAACATAACTTTGGCCCCTTTGGAAATATCTTATTTTCAAGCTTGTTATCTATCATAATTAGTACTAATTAAATAAAAAAACATACGTTTTGCTAAAATTAGAGATAACCTTAATTATTTATTTATTGGTAAATACAGTATTGTTTTGTAAGTTGTAAAAACGACGAAATAAAAACGTTTCACTTTTTTATAAATTTTAATACATGCACCTTGTCAATATTTTACGCATCATTACGTTCAGCTTTTTGATAGAGCATTCAATTTTAACAACAAGTGGTTTCAATGGTTTTCGTGGGCAAATTTCGATTTGTAAAGAGCATCATCTCTTCAAAAAGGTGATCTAGTTTACGCATTTTCAACATTTCTATAAACTGTAGCAAGCCACCTTAAAGCTTGTATAGTTATACGCGAGTGCAATGCCTTTGAAATCAAAGAGGCATAAGAAAAACACAAATCCGTTTTGCTCGAAACGAAAAAGGAAAAAATCCTTTCGGCAAATGGAATTCAATATGAATAAGAAACGAGTGCTTGCAGACAGTGACTTGGGCTCATGGTTTTCCCAAGACCAACGATGGCCTGAACAGTTTGAGGATTCCGCAACTTGTTCTTCAGAATGACTCAGACAGCAACAGCGAGTGCAAGTAAGAGGAAGATAGAAGAAAGCATGAAATCGCTTATCGAAAATAGTTACTCCGCAGGTTCTGAAACTTCTGACTCAGACCAGCAGTTTCTCAGCAGCGAAGACGAGGAAGGCCCTGAAGGAAGTTCTGGTTTTTCAAAACCTACTGGGAACTACATTGTTACTACTGGCAACTACATTGTTACTACTGGCAACCTGCAGTACATGTTGGAATCTTCTGCCGTTTGTAAAGTTTGCTACAGCTCGCTACAGATTGTGGAAAAGTTGGGATCCAAGCAAGGTCTTGGTGCCAAGTGGAACTTTCGTTGCACGAATGAATGTGTATCAAAAGAGTTGTATGAATCCTATCCAATTTGCCAAAGTCCAATGAAATATACGATGTTAACCGTGCATCTGTTGTTGCTTTTCGGGCCATTGGAAAAGGATGATCTGCTGCGCAAAAATGCTTTAGTTTTCTCGGTCTCGCGCCAGTATACACGTGGGACAAACACACAACAATAATTGAGGAAAAGGTACAGGATCTAGCTGAGACGGATTTCAATCATGCGTTTATGCAATTGATACAACTTAAAAGAACGGTGGGCGAAGTTGCAGTAGACCCGACAGATCAAGAATTGGGAGAAACTGTTGTTGATGTCGGCACCAGCTTCTACTGTTCGTGGAGTTCGCGAGGTTGGTCTGCACGAGATGGTCTCGTTGCTGCTGTCTCAGAAGATACGGGGAAAGTCTTGGATGTTGCCTACTTGACAAGAGAATGTAACCATTGCAAAGGAATGGAAGAAAAGAATTGTTTACTCAATTACCTATATCAAACGCAATGTAATCTGTTAGTTTTAAAATTAATTGTCTCTAACAATACTATTTTAGGCTATGGAATCATCAGGAGTATCACAACTGTATAGAAGATCAGTCGAGAAGCGAAAGTTGCGATACATTCCATTCATTGGTGATGGGGATTCCTCCTCTTACAACGGTATTTGCATCGAGAAACCATATGGCAAAACAGTGTATATTCCGAAAGTGGATTGCATAGCCCATGTTACGAAAAGAATGGGAACAAATTTGAGGTCACTTGTCTGTGACTACAAAGGTTATTACTGCATTCGTACTACAGTATGCTTTGCAGTATATCTATGTATTAAAACGCAAATATGTTGGCATCTGCATGTTTTCGCATGAAGCATACAGGTCATACACATACACCTTTCCTGGGTGTCATTATGCTCTTTGAAATTAAGACTAAGAGTACATGTTTGAAATTCGAAATGAATTTCATATTCATGAAATGAATTTCATATTCTCAGACTTGCATGTTTGAAAGCAAACAAAATAGCATGCGTTTGTGTGTCGGTATTGCTGTTGTTTGGTTATTAGCGTTGTAAAGAAATGTTTTATCTTGCATGT